TAAAAACTGTTACATGTGTGTTTTCTGATGAAACAACTTTTTTGATCAGGTACAACTTTTGGGCCTTTTCACCCCGTTGTTCAAAAATAGCTTTGGCGACAACTAGGACATTACTCCAGGCACATACACACATATATTATGTATAAAAAAATAATGTAGTTACCAATTTATGGGTGATAGATCAACACCTTAAAGTAGAGAGTATTCCCTCATTTGTATTCTAAACATATACGAAAACATGTTGGGTCAAATAAGACACGCCAGATCTTGGGGACGCCATAAAATGAAAAGGGTCAAAACGAAATCGTTCAACAATTATGAAAATCTCGGTCTATGTTTGGAAAAATCACACCTTTGCAGAATCTGACGAGTCATAAAAGAGCCTAATTTGGATCCCAGTCAAGGACACATTTCACAATTTCCCTTCAAAAAGATAACGGAGGGGAAAAAAGAAACTTCGTTTTTCTTTGTGTAAATATTATATCGTGCCAACGTCATGACGATATGTTGACGGCACGTTTGCGTTTCCTTGTTATTTTAAACTTAGAGGTTGTAAGTAACTGTTACGATGAAGTGGACGTGAACAAAGATGCAGGCTGTATGTGAACATAAATAAGTAAATAATACGATGCACCCTGCAAGGGCATTTATATGTTTTGTTTCCTTCCCATTGCAGGGGCGCTCCTGAGTGTCTGAGCTTGAACTTTTAAAAGAATTCTATTCCGTTTTGTTACCGACGTTATGGTACAAAAAAGATTTAAATTTGAAAGAAAAGAAAAAGCGTGGACTTAGAAAAACTACTTTAAAAATGGTTCAAAGTTTCAACGCACATTAATTGTCTTAATTAAAAACCACACCGTTTTTTGCTCGTATTTTGCCACTAGCATTTCAATTGTTAGAGTTGTGCTGCGAAATCACCACAAGCATGCTCAGAAATAGAATCAATAATCACTGTATGCAGAACGAACGAGTGAAATTTTAAGTGTAATAACGATGGATTGTCAAAACTGTCAATGAAAAAAATGCACACACAGATATTGTGTCGTCGGTAGCCTAGTGGTTAGGCTACCGCACCCGTAATCGTAAGATTGCGAGTTCGGGGCTTCGAGCCTCAGCTCGGTCCGACGTTGTGTTTTTGGCAAAGCCATTTGACACGAATTTCCAACTAGACTCGAACCTTTCGGAGATAGATGTTTGACTCGGAGGTCCCGCCTCTTAATAACCTAACAATGTTGAAAGGGTCGTTAAACGTATACAATTTTTCTTTCGCACATATAGTAGTAATGAAAGGTGTCAACGCGCAGTGATTTTAGTTCTTTCTTGTTCTTCTGAAATAAACCGCACTGAGTGTAAATGAAGAAGCAAATAGAAAAAAAGGAAGATAACTCATACATTATTTCAAATCTGGTGCCCAAATTGTAGTTAAAAGGAGACAATCAACTATGACTGACTTGCAATGAAAAGGCACATTTTCCGTGAAAAAGAATAACGTAGGTCTATGTCAGATATTAATCAAAATAAAAAGTTCATAAACTTTGATCCGGTTAATAAATCTAGGAAAAATAGACTAAAGATGTTGGGGAATTTCGTTGGTATAAAACCCCCTCTCATCCCCCCCCCTCCCAAACACGACATAAGGGGACAAATATTCCTTCTCCTTTTCTGCCTTTGGTCTCTTTGATTGAAAAGACAAATCAAGAACTGGAGGTAACTAAATACCATGAATATTTTAGACATCCTATTTTGCAGAAATGTTGTGCCATACATTTTGTTGTAGCTGGCTGTCTTTGTACTGCAGATGTGACGCACCATACAAACATGGGGTTGGGGGCTCTCGTATCTAGAGGTTAAGGTGTTCGGCCTCTCATTCAAAGGTCCCGGGTTCGAATCCGGATAGTGACCAAACATTTTCTTCTCTAAGATTGTCTCCTTTTCCCTCCTTTCCTGCTCTCTAGCAATGTTCTGCCGTCTGCTTTCATTTCCTCTTTGTGTCCCCCACCCCTTCACCTCCTTTGCTCCCTCCTCTGGGCGCCTGACTCTTTCTGCAGCCTTTCTACTGCTACTCCTTGGCTCCTCCTTACTGCTTTCTTTCAGCCACACCCCTGATCTTCTGGTAGGAAAGATCTGTACCTAGCCTTCTCGGACAAGGGCAAGCAATTTCTGAAGGCCTGTGTGCAAGTTGCGTACGTTAAAGATCCCTTGGTGGTCTAAAATCGATAGGAGTAGGCTTCGTCTGCCACCCGAGCTAAACCCAAAATTTCCTACCAACTGAAAAAGCTTAATGTGCTCCACGCGCTCATTTGACCTTATGCAGTTGCGAGCGCCGTAAAACACCTACCCCAAAAATATATAAAAATGTGGGGTTTCCCTAGGCCTAGTCAGTTCAATAAAACGCCCATATAGTCACGTGTCGTTGAAATGAGAGTTTCGGTCACTGCCGACGCATGGTGGGAGGGGCGGGTAAGAGCGCTCGCGCCAAACTACGTTACGTTTTCTCGCCAAAATTCGAGTTGCAATCCGTATTTAAAAAAAAAAACCCAACACGTACGTGTTACGCATCACATGGAACCAGTTAGAGAAAATAGCGAGGGATCCGTATTCTCGTACGTACGTACGCAATACGGATCCAAAATACATACCGTGGAACACGGCCTACAGCTTGCTGTGACCGCCAGCAGACCACAGAGTCATCCCTTCTGTTCAAAACACAGAGTTAAAAAAACCCATACTATTATTAAATAACAACCAATGCCATTTTTTTTCTGTCAAGCACAATTGAAGAATAATCCACGCAGCAACTCCTTTTTCAACTCTCTGAAATGCAATAATCAGCTAATCGTTCTGACCTCTGTACTGATTTACAAAGATATTATTTATTAGCACATCACTCAAACAAAAACGCCCACCCACCCCCCTCCCACAACACCCCTCGATCGCCCCTACCAGTTGCGCTAGAAAACTAAGTACATCCATGTTACATGTACAGCCTTAGCGGCCTTGAGAAATTACGAGCATTTCATAATAATATGTGCTGCAAGCGAACTGGGAACTTCCAGACAAAAAGGTTACACGTCACAATTTGTTTTCTGTATGTTTCCCTTTAACATCTTTTCTCAAACGACCTTTATGTAGTTGAGAGCACTGTAAAACATGTATCAAATTGTAACTTTCTTGACGTCCATCCTGCCTGGCAGGGACGTATAAAACACAGCAAAGTATGGCCTCCTTTTACCACCGTAAGGGTCTTAAAAAAAAAAAAACCCACTTATTGGCGACTTGGGTTCTTAGAAAAAAGGTAGGGAGTTGTATATGGGCAAACTTGCAAGAACTGGGAATATATCGTCTCTGGATATATTTGACTTTTTTGCTATAGAATCGAGTTTATTGTGAAAAAGCGTTCTTATAATTTCAAAATAAGCTCGAACTGAGAGAAACGGGCTCAAAGTTTAAACAGTCACGAAATTATTTGTCTGAGAAATGCTTGACTCAGCTCGTTGATTTTCAAAGTAGTACAAGTATAAAACAACACAAAATTGTTCACAAGCAGAATCAATAATCATATTACAAAAGTAAAAAAAACCCCACCAAAACCCCCAAAACCAATAGAACCAGTGAATTTCGACTTAAAAGCAATCAAAACGTTCGGAAATACGCAAGTAAAGGAACCCAGTATGTGTGTGAGTGTACGGGGAGGGGGTGATGGAGGATGCCTGATGGTGAGTGAAAATAGTGCGCCCCTGTTCTTTCGAAATCAAGCACACTGAGAAGCATTTTTTTTAAGGCGGAAAAAAGGATAAAGAACATCATAGGTCATTTGATTTTTAGTTTTAATGTAATACTAACGAATTTCGAGGAAAATACACATTCTGCTTATAGAAATAAAGGGTACGACAGGAACACAAATTCGAAGTAATGCATTTTGACTATATTTCAGCAAATGGCTTAAGAAAAATAGACAAATTATGTAGGAGAACTCCCTGTTATAAACAAATCAAACTCGACCCGAAATGTCCCAATCTTATGTTTTGGCTTCTTACTCAAAAACTAAGTTTGAGACACATTCCCAATTCTCATACAGCACATCATGTATTACGATTTCTGAACTTCAAGGTGGCAAACACTTGAAAGTAGAAAAAGTGTTAAGCCAGGTTAAACTTCTCAAAAGTCCTGTAAGCAAGCAGCAACAGATACCCTGAAAATGGCCTAGACAATTATTTTGGGTTGTTAGTAAGTGCTTTACGACGCTCGCAAGTGTGTACGGCCATATGAGCGCACGGGACACATTACGCATTTTTAAATTGGCAGGAATTAATATAATTTTGAACTTTGCACTGGTGGCAGTCGAAGCCAACCCATATCGATTTAGGATCTTTAGAACCATCGGATCTTTGACGATTTTTTCGCCGTATCCAAGAAAGCCAGGTTTTTAGATCTTTCCCAGCCTAAGATCAGGGGTGTGGCTGAAAGACAGCAGTAAGAAGGAGCCAAGGAATAGCAGTAGAAAGGCTGCAGAAAACGTAAGGAACCCAGAGGAGGAGGGCAAATAAAAGGAGGGGGGGAACGGGGCAGAAATTTGAGAAGAAAACAGACTATAGAATATAGTTAGAGGGCAAGAAAGGAGGTGAAAGGAGAAAATTTTAGAAAAGAAAATTTTCAGTCGCTATCAGGTTCGAACCCGTGACCTATTGAATGAGAGGCGAATACCGTGCCTGTAGACCCCGAGAGCTCCCCCCCCCCCCCCCCCGCACACACCTTTTCCCCCTAGCCAAATTGGCTGGTGGGTGACGTGGTAAGCAATTTAGAACTCTCTGTAGCAATTACATAATATTTCAAATTTAGTTAATCATTACGAGAAAGATTTTATTGGTATCTCTGTCCCTGGTTGTCCCCCCCCCCCCCCCCCCCACATAAAAAAATGTAACGCGTTTTGTTAGCAGCTTCGACCCTGTTTTTAACCGATAAGAAAGTGCAAGGGCCGGCATAGACAATAAATTGACCGGTCACCACCTGCCAGTGTCCAGACCGCGTTTAGGACTCGCGGATCTTGTCTTCTACACTGACTGAATCCCCCCTCTGAGGGCAACAACATGATGATCCTCACAGCATCAGTGCTGCTTCTGCAGCTGTTTGGTGAGAGATTATATTAATATACCAGAGAGATGATAATAATACACCACATAGATGATAATAATATACTACTTCTCCCTCAGAAATCTCTCTCTTCTATTTTAAATGTTTTCGATAAATGAGTCCTCTCCAGAAGACAAGAAGAAAATCCTTATAATCATTCGCTCACCAATACTTCTTTTACAACACGTATAAGAAAGACATAATTACACGTTTTTTGATTCATTAAGGACGTAATGGATACATTAATATGTCTGACAATAAACCAAAGGGCTATCTTGTGGCACATTTCAAATATCGGATACAGAGCAGAAAAAAACGAATCTGAATATTTCATAGTATGTAGGCTATGTTGTTGTCTCTTTTTTTTTAGGTTTCAGATAAAGAAAACAAGAACTGAAGAAATATGCAATATGAATAATATGTTTCTTTTTCAAAGTACCCTAAAACAGCGCCCCTTCTACTTCTAGTGCAATCGAATAACCCAAATTAATGCGTCTTCTAGTGCAACTGGATAACCAAAATATTAATGCGTCCTCCGGTACATTCGAATAACCACTATAAATGTGTCTTCTAGTATAGTCGAATAACCAAATCAATGCGTGTCCTTGATTGGTTAAGAAACAAAAGTGGGTGAAAGCCCACCTTATTTTAGCACTGGGGTGTAGAAAAGACGCAAATGCAAATTTTATTTGATTAGACCCCACTTCCTACAGTATTAATGTACCTCTGGTTTGGGTCTTAAAGTATTTACAAACTGCATGTTTCCTTTTAAAAATGGCAGTTTGCACAGTGTACTTCCCAGGAAGTTGAAATTGTTTCAGAGTGCTGTCAGGTCTGCTGGGGAAATGATATAGATTGTAAAGCGCATAGAGCTTGCTGTTGAGCGGGAATTTGCGCTGTACAAATGCTTTCTATTAGTATAGTAGTGTCTCTGAAAATTATTTACTGACCTAACTTAAATCCACTTGACGGCCCAACCTTGCCCTTCATTTGGCTTTAATGGTGTGTTCCATGGTGAACAGGAAATACGTCAGAGTGGTCATAGGATATGATAGTAAATGATCTATGACTTGAACAAAGTAAAGAAGATGGAATAGCAAACCTAAAGACAATATTATTTTTTAAAACTAAAACAGACAGGAAGCAGTTTTAAAAATGCAGAAAAAATAAAGAAGTGACCTCCCATGTAGATACGTCTGGAGATTGTCATGTCGTGAAATGTCTTCTCAAATCTGAGACAAATGGACACTCACGAGCACGTATCTCACGGACGTGTGAATGTGCCTGCGTGTCTGTCTGTCTCTCCCACTCACTCTCCCCCCGCCTCTCTCTCTCTCTCTCTCTCTCTCTCTCTCTCTCTCTCTCTCTCTCTCTCTCTCGTCCCCCTCCCCATACCAAACTAAGATAACCGTGGCATCCACCCACCTCCACCCCCAGGCTCACTGGCATACAAAGACCCACACTGTGCTGGGGGCAGAGACGGCGTGGTACATCTCTTTGAGTGGAAATGGAACGACATTGCTGCAGAGTGCAAGCGATTCCTGGGACCTTATGGCTTCTGTGCTGTACAGGTATGCTACATTCATTTCATCTCTGTTGATAGATTTGATTTGATTATTATTATTTTTAGTAAGTGTTTCACGACGCTCGCAGATGAATAAGGTCATATTCTTGTTATTTACAGCTCCTTATTTGCTCAACTTTCCAAATCATATTCACTTTTTTTGGTAGGTGTTTTACGGCGCTATTCAACTGTGTAAGGCCGTATGAGCGTGCTTGGCACATTAAATATTTTCAGTTTCCCAAACTAATTTTTTTTTTGTTCGTAGGGGCTTTTTTCGACCCGGCCGGGGGGAGCGCGCCAATTACATTTTTTTTGATATTAGGGCCAGAAAATTTTTAATAGGGGGGTAAACCTTTCCATAAGAAAAAAAAAAGGGGGGCCCAGGGGGGATAAACAAAAAGGCCCCAAAAAGACCCAGGGGGGGGGCGCCTGGGGGGGGGGCCATTTTGTGGTGGTAAGAAAAGGGGGGGGGGGGGGGGGGGGGGGGGGGGGACAGAAAGTGGGTTCGAAAGCGGACGATAAACGATGGTGCAAAAAGCATAACCTTCAGACCACAAATGCCCGCAAACAAAGAACAAAGGTCAAGGTTGCACTACTGGGGTCACCTCGCTCAGCCCAGCCCTGTCACCTTTTTGTCTTTTCTTGACATTCGTGTCAACAGCTTAAGAAGACAAACATGTATCTCTATCAAACTAAGACGGAAAAAAGGATTTTACAGCTCACAAATACACAGAAGACAAACAAAATATACAAAAACAACAAAACAAAATAAAGAAAAAATGGTTTGCTACATATCGGAAGTCACGTACTTGAGCTTATCAGCAGCAGCGAGCAAAATATATAAAATATAATATTATATCTGTCCGTCCCCCCCCCACCTCCTTTCTCTTTCTATCTCTCTTTCTCTCTCTCTCTCTCTCTCTCTCTCTCTCTCTCTCTCTCTCTCTCTCTCTTCTCCCCTCTCTCTCTTTATATATCTCTCTCTCTTTCGCACACACACACACTCACACCCACAAACACACATATACACACATACGAACACACCTCCTTTCTCTCTGTCTGTCTGTCTGTCTCTCTCTCTTTCTTTCTCTTTCTCTCTCTTCCTCTCTTTCTCTCTTTCTCTCTCTTTCTCTCTCTCTCACTCACACACACACACACACACACACACACACACACACACACACACACACACACACACACACACACACACACACACACACAGGCACCCAACCACCCACCCAAACACAAACAAACAAAGAAAACACACCCAACACACACCCAACACACACCCACATACAAAAAAAAATTCCTCCGTAACCTTCAGAAGTCGTTTACCAAAATAAAACTCGCAAAAATATAGATAAGACAAAAGTACAGCCGGATGATTCAAAGTATTTTTGGAAATGCTGCCTCATGATTTCGTTCTTTTTGTGTTGGAGAACTTTCTTCTTTTTTTTCATGACGCTATCTACTTGGTTCAATTTTTACATAAGTAAAACTGTGTAGTTAGAGAAGTCGGTCAACTGCTTTGAAAATACATGTATTAAGTAAGGGGTTGGCTTGAGCTCTGGTGTGGTTTGCTCTTTTTTCCTGTCCTATCGTCCTTATCTCTCCTCCTTCTTGCATGTTATGTTTGTTTCCCTCTTAATATATGTAACACCTCTAATCTCCGGCACGTATATGACCTTATTGTGCTTTAGGCGCTGTAAAACTCTTACTAAAACAAAGGCACATGTATTAACTCAGATAAGAGAACTGAACCACCTGCGCATATTTTCCTGAAAGTCTGGATTCTTTCAGTAAGCATAGTTAAGTTTGTTTGTTTTAGTACGGCTTTACGGCGCTCGTAAACAGCATAATGTCGTATGAGCGCCAAGGGGTGGATGTCAACAGAGAAGTCTAAACGGGGAATCGGGCTTACTTTGCTCACCTATCTAGTATCTAGCCTCAACAGCACAAAGTCTACTTCGACTGTCAAGGCACCCCGAAAATGGCAGTTCACAAGAGAGTGACAAACATACAAAAGAAGTATAGGAAAAATGACTATAGTTAGGAAGAGAAAAGAAAAAGCAGCAGTTATGTTGTTCCGGCACAGTAGGAGCATGACATTGATAAATCAGCCCATTTACAATTCTACTGTGCATAAGAACATTCTAATATACCCCCTTTAGGAAGCATAGTTTAGTGGTTAGGCTAATCGTGAGGCCGCCAGTTTGGGTGGTTCGAGGTTAAGGTTGTCTCGGCATCGTATTCTCAAGAAAAGCGTTCACACGAATTAATTTCTCTCTCTTCATCCAGGTTTAAACAGGTAAAAAAGCCTAGCCGGTGAAAGACCTGGTCGGTTTTGTTTCTTCAGCGACTAGAAAATGGCAACTGCATTGTATGCTTCTCAGAAAGTTGAGAATGTTTCAGAAAGCTACCAAGTCAACTGGGGTAGTAATAGTAATATTAGATTGCAAAGCGCACAGAATTTGATGCTGAGTTGGAATTTTAGGCTTTACAATTAATGTGATACCATAACATATCGTGTTTTTGCTGAATTTGGCGGTCTCCAAGGGTGCAAAGGGAGTCTTCTAATAGCCACCTCAGAATTACAATATTCTATCTGCTCAGTATCTAATTTTGAGAACTTTGACGTCAAAGATGATTAATTTCACAGCATGTCAAGTTTTTCCGAAAGCAATCCTTTCAATATCTTGTATGGTAGCGACTACGTAGAATATTACGATTTTGATAGAGCAAAGAGAATATTTGATTTCCGACCACATGATTACCACATATAGTAACTCATAACAGCCAAAAATGTCACATAGAACTTTGTAAGGTAGCGTAACGGCGCCAGCGTTAAAGGAGCCTGCTCTAACGACCAAGACACACACCTGTAGACGACCCCCCCCCCCATGAATTTTCTTTCTATATCATAATGACACTGTCCAAGAAGACCACCTTTGTAAAATAACCAACCTCTTTTTTATCCTCAACAAACATGGGTGATCGTCTTGAATAGTTCCGGCGCGCTCATTTGACCTTATGCAGTGGCGAGCGGTGTAAAAAGAAAGAAAAAACTTATCAAAATAAGAATAGTTCCGATTGCAAATACAAACCAATCAATTTACTGACCTATCCTACGTATTCTTTTGTCCCAGACTTCGCCTGCAAACGAGAACAGAGTTGTAACTTCACCAAACCGACCATGGTGGGAGAGGTATCAGCCAATCAGCTACAAGATCGCCACTCGCAGTGGAACCGAGGATGAGTTCCGGAACATGGTGAAGACATGCGCAGACAGTGGTGTGAGGTGAGTGTACTGGGATATAGGCAAGCTTGTGTGGGTGTTGGTGTGGCAGTTGAAATAGATTAAAACGTTGTCTTGAGAAGGGGTTGGGCACGGGGGGTGCAGGGGAGGACAGAGGGGAGGGGGGAGGGTAGGCTGATGAGCTGGTGTACTGGGATGGGTAAGCTTGTGAGGGTGTTGATTTGGCAATAGTTCTAAAGGAATAAAATATTGTTTTGAGAAGGGGTTGGGGAAGGGGTAGGGTAGAGTAAGGGAGGACAGGTGACGTATTTTTTTTTGTTCAGATGAATGTTATAATGGACAATAAGGGGGATGGATAGGGGTATAGTTAGATCAAGAATGCTTTGATCCAAGTTGGGAGCAAATAAAGAGGTGGGGGGCTGTGGCGTCCATCTCCATGTCTCTTTCTTCCTCTCCCCTCCCCACCCTTCACACACAC